CAGTTTTTTCAGTCTCTGCCTTGTCTTTTTATATGAGACTACAATAGAATAATTTGAATTGTGATTACCTTTTTAAAACAAATCCTGCAACTAGAATTAAATTTCACACTGCATTTTAACCTTGAAATGAACATAAATTTGAAACTAATACAAAAAGTGCAAAAAATTCCATATTCACGTTAATGTTTAGCAACAGAAAAGGATAACTTTTGTTTATCTCTAAAAACAGCTTTCTTCACCTAAACAAATGACTAGAATAAGATTTTAAAAAACCTGTTTTGCCTTCTGAGATACACACATATTCCAATTTCCTTTTGCACAATGACTTTTATGCAAATGTGCACCACAATCTCCTGACCTCCCTTACCATCACACTGAGACAATGACAGTTCAATAATTGAAATGGTACATATCTGGTATATTTTATTTTAAATTGCAAAGTCAGACTCAAGCCTATTGAAACAAAAATACCTCTGATTCTTTGTTAATTTCAAAGTGATCGGGTTATTATTTCCTAGTAGTAAAAAAAGCAAAAAAGGTAGGTGAAGCTAATTATTCCTTTTTTATTTCCTTTATACATATTTTTTCCAGTGTGCTTCCTTGTATTCTCCTCTGTGGCCCTTCCCCACATCTTGATTTTAGTTCTTAACCCGGATTCCTTCATCCATAACATGGATAATGAGAAAACCCGAAAAACGTTCCTTGGGGAATGTTACACTAAAAGTTACCTAGGACTAAATCCCACGTGTGTTCCTTTGCTCACCATGGAGACAAGTGATTTGTTCCCTGCTCTCAGCCAATTTGAAATCCAAATATGAAAACAGCATTATGGAATTCAGACAGACTACTCTGCTTCACCACTAGCAGATGCAGGAAGAAAAAAAGCTAGTCTAATTAAGCTTTTGACTTTGAACCAGCAAAGCTGTGAACACCTCACTTAAGAATACAGATAATATTAGAAGAGCAGCTGACGTGCAGGTGCTGCAGACTGTTTGCATGCCCTGCACCGGATGGTGGTTAGACCAATCTGCTGGCCAGAAAAGTCTTGGCTATGCTGAGCCAAGAATAAACTACACTGTAAATCTGACATACTGCCAAAGTCTTACTTGTTCTTCCTCAGTTTGAATGTGTAGTACTAAGAGGTTTTCATTATATCTTTTTACTGGACTTTTTAGAAAGTTTGGGATCATGTGAGGGGTAGACCAAATTGCAATGCATTTTTGTAAAATGAGGATTAGAAGTAAAAGGTTTCTCCAATACATTCCTCAGTTTACTCATTTGTCCATTAATTACCCTACAAATATTTATTGAGGACCTAATATTTGAATATCAATTGACTAAAATTTATAAAGAATGTAAAGGCATGAAATTAGAAGACTATAATCAAATCTAATAAATGGTTAGCTGAAAAACCACTACACATACACACACATACACACACACAAGGATACTTTGAAAAGTTCATGGAAAAATGGAATTAATAATATGCATCTTTCCATGAATGTTCTGAAGGGCCCTCGCACATGTGTGTATGTATATGTGTGTGTATGTACATGTATGTGTATGTATGTATGTGTGTATGTGTATTTACCTTGCAAGACAGGTTGTGGCTATCTACGTATCTTAGTATTTATTAAGCTCACTTTAAATATACATTCATGCATTAAAAGTGAAGATTAGAGCAACCCGTAGTTTCATTTTATTGTCTTATTTTCCTCGACCAATTTTGCTTCATCATTAAAATTTCTGGAGGAAAAATCAAAATTTAACAGTGCTTAGCACTTCAGAGCATTTCACTTGAAGAAATGAGTAAGATTTTCTTAACAGTAACAATATAGTTTTTAAAATTCTAAGGAAAATAACACTGCCTAAAAATGAATACAGCTTTGTTTGTTTTTACAGTCATAGTTAGCAATAGACATAAAGGTATTCTTTTTTTGAGTCCATATGGAAAGATCATCAACACATTCTGCCTCTGGGTTCTTTGCCAAAATACCATAACCCACAAGCCTTCTACCTTAAACATAAAAGGAAAGGTGTTGTTCTGGTCAAATAAAGAAATAATTTTTACTAGCATACGTCTAATGTTAAAGCTGCCTAAATCCTGCCAAATACATTAAAACAACATCTGTAAAACAGATTTTCATTAAATTGATCAGTTTAAAGTTAAGCAGCTAGGCAGATGATGCTTTTAAGCTAACCCTTAACCTTTAACTTTTAACCTCCTTAAACTAGAATAAGGGCACACACTTTTAGGTAATATTGCTTCAGTTCGACAATGCAAGATGTAAAGTGGTCTATTCAAATCGAAATGACACATCGCCACATCTAGAGTGTTATGAATCAATATGTTGTCAATAATGAGAAAAGCTGTTTTCTCACAGCTCTGTATTTTTCTTATAACTGCTACTTGTCACTTTCTCTTATAGTGAATCTTAATAATTCACTATGTAAAATGATGTAAATTAAACTCCTAATGAAAATAAATCTTATATAGAAGTTTATTGTCTAGTCATTAACTTGGAAACTATTTTAAGTCTAATTTTAATATTTTAGCCATATTATAAACCATCCTTTTTGCCCAGGCCCAGGCCAATTTGTTAGGTTCTCATTTAAAAGCAATTAATGTTACTTATGAACCAATTTTATTTTGCCGACACAAGCCAACCAAGCTTGCTAATATCCTCGTTACTGCACATGAAAATTCTCTATATCTGACTCACACAGTTTCTGAAATCAGTTTAGAAATGGCATCTTCAACACATTGCTACTCTGGAGTATTTTCCTAGTTACTACTAGAAATAATGAATGCTCCTTAAAGGATAATGCAAAAGAACATAGTTTGATTGCCTAATACTAAGTTTCAATAACTCAAATATTTACCTCTTCGATCTTCTTTTAATTCAAGGTAAGTTTGTTCAAAGTAATTTTATGTTTGTTTGCTGACCACTTTTAAATGCTGCACTAAACAAGGGTACTTGGGTATTTAAGAGCTAAGCAAACAAAGAAGAACACATTTTTATATAATTTATAAGACTTTTAAGATAAGAGTATACCTTTTGGTTGTGGGATCTAAAGCTCTCCCTTAAGCCCTCTTTATAATCAAGCTTTTATCTCAATTGGTGCTTATAAATTCAAAGATACTCTCCAACTCTCCATGCAAAGGAACCTCAAGAGTAACTCTAGCACCTGGCAAACTGCTCTGCAGAGAGTGAGGTGGTCAGTCCATGCTTATGCAACAAACTGATAAACTTACACACACACACACACACACACACACACACACACACACACACACGTTTAAATAATCATCAATTAGATTAAATAACTTTTCCTGAGAAAATAAACAATAACACAACCTTTCTTTAGGTTCCCACATGAGATTAATAAAATAGAAAAATTTGTACATTTATATCTTCTATTCACAACATGTTAATTTAAAGTTTAGAGGAGCTGTGTGAATATAAACACAGTTCATGAATATTCTATATAGCTCCCAGGGTCTAAATCTATTATTTATACAAACTTAATGTTTTTTTGTTTTTTTGGTTTTTTTTCTCCTAGGTATTCTAAAAGTTTTAATAGGTCAGGTAGCAACAGAAAAAAGTAGACAATTGAACAGCTGTCAACTGTTGCTGCAAAACCTATGAATTATAATACAATTAATCCTTTATATTATATTTTCAATACTGTCAACTTAGAAGCTTTCCATCTTACATAAGGGCCTGCACTCCCCCTCAAACTGTGTAACCCAAATCTAATGCTTTCGTTATTGATCCACAGGGTGCCAATATCACAAGAACAATGTTACAAATTCTCACACTCAGTCTTTAGATTTTTTATGCACAGTACATCCATCTATAATTGGAACTTCAAGAAACAATCCAAACACATATTACTAGACCAACCCAAACAATTCCTGCACCCAATCTAAATAGCCACAATCTGCTCTTTTTGTTGTATGTTTATAAATTTTAAATAGTACTAGAAAAGTCATAGGTATTATAATCACTGGTTGACTCCTGATAGTATAGTTATCACTGATTTCTAGTATAAATCAATAGGTAACACTTGCAAAATGGATTTTGTAATCATATTTAGAGCTTGTTACAATGACTAATGGTTTGCAATATTTTCTGAATTTTAATATCCTCCAGACAAAAAGAAGTTTTTAATAAGTTACCAAGTTATTCATCATATAAATGAATGTGTTACATTTGTACATGAACCAAGACAATCAAGACAATCCAGTGAACAAACTGCAGAAAATAATCAGTAATTAGGGTTTAGAGAAAGTCAAGACAATAAATGGTGCTCATCACTTGTGTGTATTCATCACATTTGCATAGTTTTTCCCAGTAAAGACAAAAGTATATTTGCCATTTTATGAGCATATTTATCTATACCACAGCCATTTGGAGGCAAAACATTACTAGCTGGGAAAACAGTCATGCAAAATAACAACAGAGTTTATTTCTGAAGACTTTCAACTGATAGGTAGGGAGAGTGTTTACTCAATGTTACTGAGAACACACAGAACACAGAAAACATGTTTTGATTGTCCTTATTTGTCACCAAACAAAAGATGATGCACTCACACGGTAAAGTACTGTTCTTGTACTCTGCTCCCTGTAACTATTCACATTTAGCCAAGCATGGTGCTATGTTTTAAAAAACAAAAAACAATAAATAAAAGACGTTTTAAAAGTATTATTTTACATGTGGCAATAACCAGGAAAGTTCTTTTATTTCAGCAAAGCCAGAGAAGAAATCAATGCCACTGAGATAAATGTAAACAGGACATATGGCACCTTATCAATAAATTCTCTAATTCCATATGTTTCAGTATGCTTTTAGTAATGTTAATTAGAGTCTATATACCTTGCCCTTCAATTTTTTTCCTTTTCTTTCCCCTTAATATTCAGATTTGTGCTCCAAGCTCTGAAACAGTTAATTCCCTTCTCGACTCTGTGCCAATGAAAAGGGATGTCACTGCTTAC